AGCGGAAATGAGGCCGGGGGGGGGGGGGGGGGGGGTGAGCCACAAACATCACCGCTCAGACACAAAGTAAGAGGCCACTCCAAATACAGGCCAGCCTCTTTCAGGATTCCGGGTCTTTCTCAACCACACCATAGAACATGGACATACGGACCACAGAAAGAACACAAGCCACAAGCAGGGCGTGTCGGGACGGGGCGCAGAGGAACAGGACGGGGCGCAGTGCAGAGGGAGAGTACACCAAGGTCGTCATACTTTGAATTACAGTGGTTCAAACTACTATGTTACTAATGAAGTATAATGGTCCCAGATGTGTATTATAAGAGTGAATAGCTGTAGTACTCGATGGACTCCAATCATTAGGCAGTTCATTGGGTTTGTAAATGTAACCAGAACCAAGCCGACAAGCAGAGAGGATGACTGCGGACAGGACGCTCTCCTGCATGACTAAAGTGACTGTCGGACATTCGGAAGCAGCAAATAAAGCAGCCTAACCTCAATAAGGGCCCTTGCCCTCCGCCAAGCCCCTCCACACTGCAGCGGCAGAAATACAGAATCAGCAAACAGGTTTAATCACGGATTCAGAGACTTAATGTCCCGTATTTACATGCGTGGTCACCTTGCTTTGTACTTTCCCGTGGTGTTCATTAGTACGAAAAACTAAAAATAAAGCACTTAGAAATCAATGATGTACCATTTGGCTCATTCAGAACTTTTTGACATCCCCCCCCCCCCAAAATTCCAGGCTAAAGCCCTCATTTTAAAACTGAGAATTAATCACCGGTTTCTGAAGCTTTGGAGTCGCATGGGTTTGTCAGAACACAGTAAGGAATTAACATCAGAAGGCAAAAAAAAAAAAAAAAAAAGGCTCGTAAAGGCTGAGGGTTTAACGACCACACGCTAATTATAGAAAGTTCATTTACTCCTCGTCCTGACTCATGAGGAACAAGTCAGCATTCATTACTAGATGGAAACCATAAAAGCCAGGCCGTTCTTTGCGACGATCCCACAAACGGGACAAACATGAGGCACCATGGATTCAGAAAATCACGTAGCTTACATTGAACATCCAGGATAAAATATTTCACAAACTGACAATCAGAAACTGGCAAAGTACAAACAGGTTCACCTACAAACAGACAGACATTAAGGCATCACAGTCATTAAAGTTGGGAAACTTAACAAGATCTGTGTCCTTTGCCCCATCGGCTTTGGTGAAGCCTCAAAGCCCCGTAAATCAGAGCCCTTTTGCCGGTGTAATAAAGGATGATTTACTGCGGTTTCTGTGCCATTAGCAGAACATATTAAGTGGAGGTGCGTGTGAGTGAATGCAGCCCCTGTCACGCGTGTGACAGCAAACGTGATCATATCACCCGCATCGCGTGGAACGACGGATGGATACTGGGAAGGTTTGGGAAACCAAAAAGAGGGGCCCACGTCCAAGGTCCCCACAAAGACGTCGGCCCGATGTTTAAGGCGGGATGTGGTTTTGGCTGTTCAGGGTGTCCCGCCCAAATGTGCCTCTGTTAGACCCGATTCACAGAGAACGCCAGGTTCTGGTTCTGATAACCACACCAAGGCAGAGAATGCCCTGCCAGAGCCTGAATTGCACAGGTGCTCTTATCCGAACGGTGACACGTTTAAGGCAGGAAGCAGCAGTTAGCGGTTATGGGCCTTACTCTGCAGACACGGGGGATTGAAGCAGCAACCTTCCAAGCGCAGGCACAGCACCCGTACCTGCGGAGCTGGACTCCACTCCATGAACAGTCTCCATGTTAGCTCCATTAATAACAATTCCACCCTGCTTCAGCTTTTACAGTTTACCATTTCTTTTTTCTGAACTCCAAACGACTGCAGATATTGAAAGCCGAGAAAGGTCCATGGCACCCCCCCCCACCCCCACCAAGGCTGTAAAACATTTGCCTTTGATGTTGCCGTTACCCCTAAAACCCCTAATAATCTGTATTTGGCTTTGGGACCTGCCGAGTCAGACAGGGCCAAAGAAGGGCCCTGAGGAACACCTATTTGATGTTTATGACCCAGCACTTTTCATGCTGCTTGCCTGTGTCAAGAGGCGGTGCTGGTAGGGTGCGTCTGATGGGGGCGCCGCCCTCGGGGGACCGCTGCCCCTGCCACGTGGCTGGACCCAGCTCAGCTCAGCTAGTTTGCCACTTTGTCGCATTCCTGAAGACACATCCACAGACTAAGGGCACAAATATTTGCATATCCTAAATTTAGCCAAACTGTTAAAGGTTAGTAAGCGAATCCATTTCAGAAACAGAATCTAACTGGGTAATGTATAAATCAGTGTTTCCCAACCTGGTCTTTGGGGACCCCCAGACAGTCCATGTTTTTGCTCCCTGCCAGACAGTCCATGTTTTTGCTCCCTGCCAGACAGTCCATGTTTTTGCTCCCTGCCAGACAGTCCGTCTGTGGCCACCCAAGGACCGGATAGGAAAACACTGTGTACATAATTGAAGCCTAACCCTAATCTTCACCCCAGCCCCAATCCCGGAGCTGAATCCAAGAACAGGCATCATACATGAACCAACGGAGTGAGTCCAAAGGCACAAAAAACAAAGATGTGGCCCTGGGCCTAGGGCCGACCGGGTTACGCTTCCGGCCCAGGCAGACGGAGCAGACCGGAGTGGCCCATGCACTGATGGAGACTGGAGGATCTTTGCCACTTCATTAGAGTCAGAGTCTGCGAAACCCAAACATCCCAGCACTCATGTGGGGCGATATGCTGGAGCAGGAGGGGGAGCGTCCCTGGCTGGCCCAGACAGGACCCCCACCTGTGCCAGGGGAAGGAAGCACAGAACCTTGCTCTTTTGGGGGTCACGGGTGCGGCAGGACAGTCCCATAAACTGTACCAAACCCTCAAAGAGGAGAGACCCAGCGGGACTGAGCCAGGAGGCGGAGCCCCCTGCCTGCTCAGCACACATGCTCGGTCCCAGCCAAGGTCATCCAGAGCTGCTGGCTGTCCCCAGTGGGCCCATCCGGCTGCCCACCCACACAAGTGACAAGACAGCCAGAAGGGAGATATAAAGGGAGAGGGAATGACTGAGGGAGACAAAGGGGGAGAGAGAGGGAGGCAGACAGAGGCAGAGAGACTGATGGAGGATTTCCTCCACACACTGAAGCTGACGTGTGTTCCCACCGCGCTGCACAGACCCCCCCCACCCCGCTCTCTCTCAGTACCTATGTACCCCCCCACCTTCTCGATCTCCCGCGCTTTGGCAGCGATGGCTTCACTGCGGCGCTCTGCGTAGTTGCTGCTTGCAGCCGTGATGGTGTCCTTCCCGACCAGAGCCTCATTCTGCTCTCCCTCCGGCAGCCGCTCGTCCTCCTGAGGAACAGAACAGAACCCGCTCATGGACCCGACCCGCTGGCCCGAAGACGGCCAACAAAGCAGGCGCTGCCCGCAGGTCGGTGACGGAGGCCGGAGGGCACAGACAGTAGGCATCTCTGCGGCGTAGTGATGATGATGATTATGTGACGATGTAAGGTGACCTTCAGGCTAAAAACACTCACAAATTCGGCGTGGGGCTCAGTGCCGTCAGGCTCCAGGGGCTGCTCGGCCTTCTCAGGGGGGGGCCCCACAGAGGACGCCTCGGGGGCCCTGCCGGCCTTGTCCGAGCCGACCTGGACGCAGAGACAAGAGGACAGTGACATGCTTACTCTCTGTAATATACCACCTCAAACTAAAGCTTCCCGGTCTCTTACAGAGCAATGCAGTCCCAAACACGTGTGGCTAAAATTAGAAATTTTACTAACATTATATTGTTTTATTAGCCTGGAACATGACCCAACTTCCTTAGCTACCTCCCACTGCTAGCTAGCAAACTGATATCACGAGCTTGCTTATTTGCAGGTTTACCAAGCTTTCATCAGTCAGACAGCGACTGCAGATGTCACCTTAAATGAGCGACTTTGTGAAAGTCTTGTGAAACTCTTTCATTCATATTGACGTTTCCATCATCACTGTCCCACTGGCATAAGTGGGAAACTAATGTAAGCTACAGGCAGGGCTAGACTTCAAGTGGGGGAGCAACAGCTACTCGGTTTATGAGATAGCAAGTATAAAACGCTGCACATTGCAGTAATGCACTTGGCAATTCATTCAAGGCAAAGGAGCATTAATTCACAGGGAAGGAAAACTTGGAGGGGTTCTGCAGGCGTGCCAACTGCATTTCAGAATCAGTAAAGTGGCTAGCAGCTCACCAGGGACAATGAGGAGATTCATGGATATACTATGAATAGGCACAAATAACTGTACACCCCAACAAAATGTCACTCACAGATTCCACATTTTATTCAAATTGGAGTATTGTGGCCCAGGAGGGGTCATCAATGAGGGTGTGACTAAACTGAAGGCTTATTTTAAAAAAAATATATCTTTCTCTCATCGCATCCTCTCATGTGTGCCTACTGCGATGTTCAGGGAGCTGGTGAACCAGAACTATGTTATGTGTGATCATATGACCTTGTACACCTTAAAACTCTGAAGTCATGTGACCTGACACGAGGAAGTAGATTGGCCTTGAAGAGAGGCAGCCCACCTTGGGGGCGGAGCAGGAGCTCTGTGGAGAGCCGTCGCGGGAGGTGTTCACGGGGTAAGCCAGGGGGCGCTCTTTATCTGCGGAGGAAGAGAAGGCAGGACACACAGGTCACGCCAGGACAGCACATGCATGAGGAACCAACGCGCTACTGCTTGTGACTGCTAAAGGGCGAGCGCACCCAGCTGACACCAGCCAACAGGGGGCGCCACCTTCGGCAGAGTATCCTAGGCAGACGGAAGGCTGTTTATTTAGTGCCGCATAAGCGACCAGGTGCACAGGGAAGAGAATGCGGGGGACCCGCACCCACTTTATTTAGGGATCTCATGGGGGCAGAGGGGAGCCAGAGAAAACGAGGACCGGGCACGGGACAGCGGGCCGGAAGAACAACAAAGGAGGCCTGGATCCTCTCACCAAACCAAGACAGAAACAGGCTGAAGTCTGTCTGACATGATAGAAAGATGGCGGAAACATAGCTTTCTGGGGGGGCGGCAGCCGCAGGGTCCCTGCAGGGGATGATGACATTAAAGCGTACGTCACTTTCCCCAAATCAAACAGAACCCCCCCCCCACCACCACAGCAAAAAGCAAAGGGCCAATTAAACTCATGACTCACAGCAGCCTGAGAACTGATCACGTCACACAGCGACCACACACACACACACACACACACACACACACACACACACACACACACACACACACACACACACGGAGAGTCGTCAGGGATCCTGCAGCCTCACGCTGTCGGGGGGGGGGTCAAGGAATACAGCGGACTGCTTCGATGAAGACAGGAATGGGGGGTCTTTCTGAATGACCGTCGAAACAGCTAGAAGAGTGCGGTGAGACACCCCCCCCACCCAAACACAACTCTGTTCACCACCCCACACAGAACGGGCACTCCTCATGCACGCGGATTCACGCCATTTGGAGCTGCTCCCCCCCCATGCGGGTGCAGTGGCTGCTGGAGGGGCCCGTACCTCCGAGGGGCCGAGAATGGCTCCTGACTGAGGACAGCTCTCTCTCGGAGCAGAGATCCCGCCCAAAGGCACTGGACCATCCATGCTCTGCTGGGCTGGAAAACGCTGCCCCAGTCTGGTGACAGTCATAAACTGCACGTTTGGTACAACACGGACATCCAGCACCAAACTGCCTGATGGCAGACGGCCTAAAACATCCGCGAAGGTCTGAGGGCAGCGACGGCCTGAGGAGCTGCTTCATGGGAGGCCGCTGACAGCCAGAACGGGCACAGGCTCATTAGGATGATCTATCGCTAATCTAGTAATTAAGTAATTAACACAAGGAAGAGGGGAAATCAATCAATTGAGAGTGTTCCCGTTGAGCGCCTGGCGGAGGCGCTGTGGACCGACAGATGGCCGGCAGGAGGATGAGTTATCCTGGTGTTATGGGGGGGGGGGGGCTTGGCAGTTTGCCTCTCTGCCGTCTTTCTTGGGGGGGAGGGGGGGGTGAAGCCAGCCATGTGACAGGCCAACATCAGATACCCCCATGTCCATCTCACTGGGACCCCTTCCCCCATCACAGGTAAGATGAGGAATCACAGCCATTACTGGGCTGGGCAAAGACCAGTCACACCCAACTGAGCCCTAAAAACCCGAGCCGACCCCCCCCCCCATAACCACCTCGATCCATCTCTCTGGGGAAGCCCCCTGGGCACCCCAGCATCTGTTCCCCACGACCCGAGAGGACACATCTCACGCACTTTGAAGTGCTGCTTAATTCATATGCCAGACGTGCTGGGGCTGGGTGCTTTTACTGCATCTTCAAACAAGCCGGGACATTCAGGGCTGACCGTTCGCCCCTGCGTGCTCATACCCTTCGGCTCAGCACCAAACACACACTAAGCGAACATATGCAGGCGGTGCAGAGGGCTGGGGGGGGGGCGCTGGGAGCAGGAGGCGCAGCGAGGGCTGGGGGGGGTGCTAGGAGCGGGAGGCACAGCGAGGGCTGGGGGGGGGCGCTGGGAGCGTAGAGGAGCAACAAAAAGTCCTAAGCCTCTCTACACTCCAAAGGAAAGTGCAACAGTGTCTGAAAATTAAATGTTTTCTCCATTTTTTTGCATGAATATATGAAGAGGATCACGCTGTCCTGGGAACATCTGGCCCCCAGAAGGGACACAGGAAGAGCCCTAAGTCACCTCTAATCACCCAGGCCATTGGCCATTCTTAACAAGTCCCAACGAACCCAACACCCTCGTTAAATACACACCTCGTCCACAAAACAGATGGCCCCGGCTGCTGGCCTTAATTACGTCCAGCGGCAGCCTGCTCTGAGCTCCTGTTTTAGGGGGGGTCACTGGGACCAACCTCTGACGGAAGGAGACGGGATCTGGACGGCTGTCCGGGGGGGTACCCCCGTCGGACCACGGACATAATACGGCTCTGCAGAAGACCCTGCATCAGCACCACGCTGACTCAGTCGGCCCATGGGAGATGACTTACCCAGCTCTCGGGCCTGGTTATAGGACTCCTCATGTCCTGGGGGTTAGATAAGAAAAGCTTAAATAAGGCTAATTATGCAGTGATTAAACCGCAGACGCACAGGCTGATTTTGTGCTACTGCTGTTCCCTGCTATGAACTAAAACCTTAAACTCCCACAAAGCCTGACCACGACATTCAGCCAATAAAACTCAGGCGCACAGAACAATGTAGACTTGCTTTCCCTGTTTGCACATTGGCTCATGCGGGCAGTCTCTGGACCCCAATTCCCAAGATGCACCACACCGGAAACAGTGTGGGTACTGGAAAAACTCGCACACTTTCTGTGAGCACAGAAATAAAGGTTCACATTTAGAGCCAGAAGCAGAAGCTGGAAGGCCGATCAGGTCGAAGGAGCAGAGAGGGTGTTTAACACCGCTGAGGAGGAGCGCAGGAGTTAAGCACAGCCTAGAGAAAAGGCTCCTACTCCGACGATGACACACGGGGCCGGAGGGAGGCCCCCAGAGGCGGAGACACCTACTCTTCCGCTGTTGGGTCTGGTAGGAGTAGCTTTTACTCCTCTCGGGGGAGTAGCTCCTGCTGCTCAAGCTGGAGCCGGAGCGGCTGTGGGGGGAGTGCGGCACATCCTTCCTGAAGGGGGAGCGCTCACGCTGAGGGGGGAACATGGTTTTCCTCCTGAGGCCGTCCCGGTGATCCCTGGGGAGGGCAAAATGCGGAAGGGGGTGTTAGGAGGTGAGCTATTGGAGGCCTAATGCTGAACTGTGAGAGGGAGAGAAGCACAGAGACAGAGAGAGAGAGAGACAGAGACAGAAGGGACAGAGAGAATAACAGAGGCAGGCATAGAAAGGCATGGACGGACAGACAGACAGACAGCTTTAGTATCTTGCCACAAGTGTCTGTCTGTCTGCATCCATCACAAATGATCTCTCAACTTCAGGCACCTACAGTTTCAGAAGGAAGAAGAGAGAAAACGAAGCGGAAATGAGGCCGGGGGG